TATTCCTCCTATGATCTTGTAACGTTTCGACCAATCCAACAGTTCCCGTTTTTCTGGATCTTTACATCCATTAAGATGAGTCAGATTAATTACCTGACTGTTAACACTCAGTTTGTAAAGGTCAAGCCTCAGAAATGAAAAGATAAAAGGCATATTTGTATCGAGAAATTATAATTCTACATGTTTTTTGATGTCTTCAATAAAGAGACGATGTTAAAATGTAAATATATCAAGATTGATGCTAACCAAATAGAAAGTAATCGAGGCTTTTATTGGGCACGAATTCGTAGATGAGTATCTTTTCTTCTCCTTCTAAGCAAAACCCAAGTAGTCTTGCTAGATTCCTGTGTTGAAGCTTGGCAACAAGAATAACTTCGTTCTTAAATTCCATGGCACCTTGCCTTGAGTTTTTAGAAAGTCTCTTTACGGCTACTTCTTGTCCATTCGGAAAAGTACCCTACAACCATGTTTGTGACATAGTATTAGATGGCACAATAAATGAAATTTTAGCTCGTTTTTGTCTTCAATACTATCAGATACTTCTCCAACTTACCAAATAAACCATATGTCATCGTATTATATAGCATACTTGGAATTGTATTTCTTTACCTTGTAAACACTCCCAAATCCACCTTCACCAATCTTGTTATCAGAAGAAAAGTTGTTGGTAGCAAGCCAACAGTATTCAAATCATATTGCAAGGATTCAACTGTCGAAATATCATTTACTTCGTCTACACACAAAAATAGCAAATCATCATAGAAAATTTCCTTTTTAGTTTGGAGTGAACATATGTTATAAAGGTCAACGTGTATCAAAGCACACAAAAATCATAGAGTTAGATTTTCGTTTCAAAAAGAAAATCCAATCTTACATGTACGAGAGACGTGTATTTGAATAAATAAATATGTCCATCTATAACAACTCTAGTCTTTTGGATGAGTTAGATTCAACACAAAATCAAAATATTGCACATATTCAGAAGGGGATTTTTTATGTTCTACTTTGCCTTTTGGATCGTCATATCTTACCATTTTCCTCGTTGACAGCATCATAACGTTTCTGCTTTGCTCTCCTTGTCAAAAAGAAGCAGCCTATCAAGAAAATCACTAAGGAAACAACAACTGGAACAACTATCGCAATAATAACTTGTCTTGACATTCCCCCATTTCCTGCACCCAAAACACGAAAATTGGTACAGATTTTGTACTTTCGAGTTAGAACCAGAAAATTAAAATTTTGTACGGTTCCATTTTTTTTCCTGCGTTGCAGATGCTGTTTTATTAGTTATCACAAGACTAATATTTAAGATTCAGGAGGTTACCTTCATTGGTTGTAGAACGCGATGGAGTCGGGGGCGGAAGAGGAGGTGCTGGTGCAGGGACCAAAGTAGAATTATAAAATGGGAACATCTCATACCTAATATTACAGCTGAGGTAATTTACTCTTGCTCCTTGTTTAATATCACAACAATACGGTAAAGACGAGATACACTGTCGAAGGCAGGTATTGCATTGACCGCTCGTAAGATCAGGGGTGCACTGCGCCAGAGTGTACAATGTCTGAAATGCTGTGAAATTAGCTTGTTTGGTAGCAAATTTTTTACTAGAGAGATCATTTGCTGCTTCTGTTGCTAATTCATTCAAGGTAGCCGCCAACACAGTTCTGAATCTATCAGGTTGATCAGTGATATTCAGGGTGTTAAACCAGGTGATTTCTCCTTCTTGTTCAGCCCTGAAGAATATGGATATGTTTGTGTAACGTAACATGCACTCGTCGTACCAGATAACTGCCTCTTTTTCCTTGGGACAGCGTTGCAAGATTTCCGTAGTAGCGTTTCTGACACACTCTTCGCAAACGTCAGTATTAACATCACCTCTACATAGGAAGAGGCCAATGACTCTGTCAGGAGGGCCAAGCCCCACCGTATAGCTGTAAAATCTAATATCCCGAGTAGAATTTGAGGATAGAGTAAGAAAAAGTTGATTCAAGTTGGATCTANAGACCCACCGTATAGCTGTAAAATCTATTATCCCGGGTAGCATTTGAGGATAGAGTAAGAAAAAGTTGATTCAAGTTGGATCTATAGATGCTATTAGGACTGTATGTAGTTGTATTTGGACAGTAATCGCCAAGATATTCCACGAAGCTGATCACCCTTCTTGTGCTAAAGAGAAAGAGCAGGCAAAACAAGAAAAGATAACCAGAAATCTTGAAGGCTAACATGGTGGTGCTTAAAAATCTTCCACTGATTTAATGTTATGAGAAGGAGAGGCATATAATAAGATGTGAAAGGAGTGGCAAGCGGGGATGAAAGACTTGATGTGCCGTCAATGGAATGCAGGTTGATTTAATTGTCGTTGTCCTTGTGTTAATATTTTGATGGAGACAGGAATCTGCTATTGTTGATTTTAGCTTCCAATGCACCTACCACATAAATGAACATTCAAGTCACCTTCTCAAGATTTCAGTGCAGTAATTTCGTATAATTTTATGTACAATAATGCTCCAAGTACAGGAACATTATTGCCAAGGGCCTCACAGGCACCTCACTGTGCAGAGGCCCCACGTGTACATAAAAAAAAAAAAAAAATTTGGCCCCCACCCCCCAAATGTATCATGCCATCAGGGGTCTGTCCTGTACTCCAGGCATGGCTCTTTTATGTAGGGGAATGAATTTGAATGGCCCTCCATCAACAAGTTTTTATTTAAATGGCCTTTAATCAAAATTCTTTAAAAGGAAAAAAAATTAATTATTTAAAAATCTCAAATGTCTATTTTACCCTCCCTTTTATAACCAAATAAATCAAGAATTTTTTGAAGGTTTAAGGTTTTGAACCTTTAACCTCATGGAAAAAAAAAGTGTTTCCCACACCACTAGAACATTGAACAATATTGTTTATTTTATTGCAATAACTTATATATATCTTGGCAAATTATATTCAAATTTACAAAGTCCAATAATTCAAACCTTCAACCTTGAAAAAAAAGTTTATTGAAATGTTTTCCTTACCACTAGGACATTGGACAATGTCGTTTATTTTATTACAATAACCT